TTGCATCTTTCTTGGTGCAAGAAGAAGAGAGAATCAGAATTTATGCCTCTTTTGATACAAGCCAGTGCTAAAGTTAAATTAAATTTCACACCTCCTTAAACCTTGAATATAATTGGCTAAACCAGTTTTCCCACTCAAGCCGTTTAATGGGGATTATATTTCACACTTCAAACAAACACAGGTTTAACAATCTTGACAGAACAATGAGGCATCTTCATAATCCTTCTTTAAAAATTAGATCTTTAAAGTATCTAGGCTTTTATAGCTTGTATTATATATACATGGCAAGTATTTGAAATGTTATTTTTGCTAATGCTAAAAGCACTTAACTCTGGCAGGATCATATGCAATACCCCTTAGATGTTTTTTTTTTATTCTTCCAAAAAGAAATGACTGGCCATTTTGCAACAATTCAGTATCATCCAGTGATATTAACCAAGTAGAACCCTATAAACAAACTATTAAAAATTAAGCAGCCATTTCAGATATCAGGCAGGTTTCCTTACAAGCTGTTAAGTTCTGGGTATGATTCACTGATAAACCAGGAGAACTTTTTTTTTTTTTTTAGGACAAATCCGTTTGATAAAGATGGGATTGTTATAATCTTTGGAAGAACAAGTTCTACAGACTCCTACTACATATGGCATTAAATTTGCAAAAGGTAACCTGTGACAAAAAGCCAGGTTAATTGCCAAGGATAAAGTAATGTCATGCAATGAACAAAAGAACTAAAGCTATAAATGACATCCTCGATTACTACTACAGGCTGAACCCTATGAGTCCATGCTGATCCACCATCTTCCTTCTGCAAGCCAAGGGAACCCACTGCAGCCCTTGGCAGACAAAACGATGAATAGATTTGTATCCTGTCTTTCCTTCAGAAGATGAAGGCAGTATCCAGAGCATTCACTCCTCCAGGTTTTTCCTCAATCTGCTAGGAAACAGTGAAAGTTAGCCAAGGAGCTTTCAAGGCTGAAGATGGACTGAAACTTCAATCTCCAAAATATCATCCAGAACTTTAACTACCAAACCATGCTGGGCTATCAAAATATTGCATACCTATTCTAGTGCTTCTGGCTATCTGAAGTCAGGAATGATATTGGTTCTACAGCTTGCTTTGTGCAAAAATAATCCGAGACTACGTAAACTGCAGGTTGAGAAATATGAAGTGCAGCATCCAACATACCATATATGCAAACAACCAGACCGTTATTCTGAACATGGGAAAATGCATGATGATTCATTCTGCCTCTCTTCACCACTACTATTGTCTCAGGGCCTCTCCAGCATCTCTGTCTTTTGAGGAAAAGTCTGTGACAGAGGTCTCCAATCTTTCCGGGCTCAAGGACTGGAGGAAAGGAGACAGCTTCAAAATTAGCGCGCACGTGTGCGTACACAGGACCACACACTCTGGCATGACACTAGCAGCCCCATTCATGCATGCAGCATGCCTGGTGCCGTGCGCATGCGCAAACGGCCGTGCACCCCCCACAGCGGCTAGCAGCCAATTTGTGCATGCACGAATGGGCCACGCAAACCACCCAGACTAGCAGTGCATGTGCAAATGGGCTGTGGACACCCGCCCCATGCTAGCATCTCCGTTTGCGCCCACGCACATGCGCAAACAGGGCCGTGGGAGAATGTGTGCTCACGCGTGCGTGCACCAGCCAATTGTTTCCGCTGCCCACTGGCCAAGAGCCCGCGGACCGGGCCCAGGCCATGGACCATAGGTTGGGGATCCCTGGTGTATGACATACTATCCAGCAAGCCTCTATCTCATAGCTGAAAAAAAAGAAAAAATACAAGTGCGCAAGCACTTATGCATACATCTGGCTCTGAAGGTTTTTCTTTCTTTTTTTCAATCACCTTCAGTAACCGGTTTCCATTTACTGCACAGCAGTGTTACTTCAAAGAATATATGATGTTTTGGACATGCTTTATAGAAATGAATTATTGTTCTTTGTCCTTTTATAATTCCTATTATTGCTTTTTTAAACTTGACTGGCAGAATCTCATTTGAATGCTGGCTTCTGGCAGCCTGTCATACATCGCGAGCATCGTGAAAGCTACCTATTAACATTTCTTTCCCATATCCTCTCTAAAGGCACCTGTCTTCTAAATTACACACTGCAATGTCTCCTCTTATCTCCCATGCTAATCTGTAAGCAAAATCTAAACAGTTGTCAGCCAAGCTGGAAAATAGCACCACCAACTCATCTGAGTGCATGTGCGTTCTTGGCTACCTAAACCAGAATATTCACTGTTCTTGGTAATAAAGCTGTGCAAGGGACTCAAGCAATTAATTGTTAAGGCAAGATTTGAAAGGCAAGGCCACTTACATATACTGTAAATGGAAGGGAAAGGCATCTAGACATATATTTGTCTTGCAGGAATAAACTATGGAAGAGGATCACCCATCCCACACCCAGCAGTGCTCCCCCTTGCATCTTTTTTCTCCTCCTTAATGCCACCTGCTTCTTCTCTGATTTCCTTCACCCAAATTCTAACAGTTGCTATTCCTCTTTGTCCTCTGTTGCTGTTTTCTCTCTCTTTTATGCTCTTTATTTGAGCCGTGGCAGCGCAGTGGTTGGAATGCAGTGTTGCAGGCTGACTCTGCCCACTGCCAGCAGTTTGATCCTGACTCGCTCAAGGTTGACTCAGCCTTCCTTCCTTCCTTCCTTCCTTCCTTCCTTCCTTCCTTCCTTCCGAGGTCGGTAAAATAAGGACCCAGATTGTTGGGAGCAATATGCTGAATCTGTAAACTGCTCAGAGAGGGCTGTAAAACACTGTGAAGAGGTGTATAAGTCTAAGTGCTATTGCTATTTGAGCAGCATACCCTTCAAATAAACAAACTCAGGATGATCACCAAGCACCCGTATCCATGACCTTGATTCGTATCTCCTTGAAATAAGCGATGTCTTTAGAATAGGAGTACCACGTAGCAGATACAAATTAGGATATACTAATTTGAATGACGCTATTAAACACTCCCTGCCACTTTCTGGAGCCCTTCTAGTTATTCTCTGTAAGGCTCACAGCAGATGAAGTTTCTTCCTCCGTAGTGAAAGAAAGTCCTGAAAGTTCCTGTTCCCTACACCTAACAGCATAGAAACAACCTCTCCATGTCATCTTTCCTCTTTGCTCTAGCAGTTGACTGAATTGTGTTGCCTTGGAGAAGCAGTTACCACACTCCTCCAGATTAATTTTTTTTAAACTGTGTTTTCTGTTCTTCCTAATATCCGAGTTTAACATTTACAGAATTCTCTATCTTTTCTTTCTTGCTACTCACCTGTTAGCCACATGTCTCCAAACACAAATGCCAGATTCAAAATATGTCTACAATTTAATCTGAACTGAGAAGGAAGTTCTGTTCTCCACAAAGTGTGATAGGCAAGGGAGAGGTCAACAAAACTTAAATACAAAGCCTTATACCCACTTAAAATGGTTATAGTTGATGCAGGCCTTGCTAGGAAGCCCTACAACGTCACCTTTCCAAAACCAACCATACTATTAAGGCTGCCTAGAGCAGACATGTCAAACTCACGTGACGTTGCGCAACGTATCGGGATGGTTTCGTCATTGCTGGCAATGGGGTGGGCGCGGCTTCCGGATGACACATCCGGCCCGTGGGCCGGCAGTTTGACACCCCTGGCCTAGAGCAAGCTTGGCCTAGTTCATGGGTGGGGAAACCTTGGCTCTTTTATGACTCGTGGACTTCAACTCCCAGAATTCCTGAGCCAGCATGGCTGGCTCAGGAATTCTGGGAGTTGAAGTCCACAAGTCATAAAAGAGCCAAGGTTCCCCACCCCTGGCCTAGTTGAACAGGAGAGCTCAAAAGAACACTCACCCCAATTCTACACCATAGCCAACTTACAATGCAGAAGACAATGGGGTAGCTTACTTTGTGCAGCTTACTTCCTACCATTATTGCCTCTATCTCAAGAATAAACTACTGGGGTGACAAAATATGTATAAGCGGAATATGGAAATAAGTCATGAAATCCATCATAGAGAAACAGCTTCCAAAATGTCCAGTGGGCATTTTTGATATTTCCTGTCTACAGTACATTGGTTTATACCAGTACATGAAAGAACTTGTTCTATATTTTGAAAGCCTGTAGATTTTAAAATAAAGACACAAATAATTTTATACAACACAATTCACTCCTCAAATGTCTACTTCAGTGCCTAATTAAAAGAAAGACATTTTTAAAATGGGCCAACCATTTTGAGAGGGGCTTTTCCTGCAGCATTGCCATAAGCAAAGCACTAATTCTCAAAGTGACTGTCTGTCTTTTTCCAAAAGTCCTGGGCAGCTGCTTTGGTGCCCATCCAAGGTCATCTGAGCATGCACACACATACTGAGAAGAAACATCCTTGACTGTTGACAAAGGATGGCACTTTTGAGGAATATGATCAGTGCTGCAACAAATGCTGCTTTGCTCATGGCAACAACAATAGAGAGAAGCACTCCCACTTAAATAGTTAATACTTACATAAACTTACCTTCATGACACAAATCCCATGGAGAACATATGCTCATCATCAAAGTGAGCATTTGATTAAACTTTAAAACTGCATGTTATTGAAACATTTCAAATAGAAGTCATAAGGATTCCAACAATAGAATTATAGAGAATCTCTGAAAAGAGATATTTGTTTTTTTGGTTCGTCCTACATTTCTTGGTTTACTTTTTTAGTGGCAAAAATTCACTTCAGCTCTTGAGACACTTTTTAACATTAAACCATGCCCATAAAGAGTCATATAAAGGGAGCAAAATCTCCAAATTAAACAGGCCTCAGATATGACCATTTTGAGTAAAAGTTAGTGTATAGGATAAAGGTAGATGGGGCCCAGGAAAATGAATAAATGTAAACTGCACGTTACAACCAACCATTGAAGAGATGTAAACTTGTATATTGAGCAGTGTGCTTCTTCTTAAAACAGGACTCTTCTGATTGGATGATATTTCCAGGCAGACTCATGCAGCAAAGGATACTAAAACTTTGATTGGTTATTTCAAAGTTCCATAAGTTTATCCTCAAGTCATCTGCTGACATGTAGGTTTCATAGTCACTGTTTACAGAGATGGAATTGATGTGATAGGTATGTGCATTTGCAAAGACTCTTCTGGGAGTTGCCTCCACCATTAAATCCATTGGCCTTAGCACAGGTACCTAACAAAGACAAGAAACAAAAGGAGTTAATCAAGTATAATTAATACTTCTATCAAAGAAGTTTATCACACAGTACAAACTCTGTATGTCTGTTTCAATATTTTGCTACCATTTCCACTATTTGCATTCAAGAGTCGTCCTTGAATTGTCCTTATGCTGCTATGTTTATTTGAATAATCAGCACTATAAATGCCACAGAACAATTCAGTGTTCACAATTTCTTCCTCTGGTTCTTAAATGTGACACTAGACCATTTAGTTTCATTAGATAAAATATACGTACTCTACACTTATTTATGTATACTAATCAATGTATATTTTTCTTTATTTGGTGCATTTTACTTGGCTTTTTGTTTTCACATCACATCTTATTGTTTGATTCTATTGTATTGAAGTGCTTTGTAGTATTTTTATGTGCAGTATTTGATAGAAAAATGAAGTTATTATTTATTTTTATATTATTTTGCTTTCTGAGTCCAAAGAAGAGTTATGAATTTGACAAGCAAACCAACTAAATTATGTAACTGGTATATCTGGCCCAATAGTAGAAAGAAAGAAAGAAAGAAAGAAAGAAAGAAAGAAAGAAAGAAAGAAAGAAAGAAAGAAAGAAAGAAAGAAAGAAAGAAAGAAAGAAAGAAAGAAAGAAAGAAAGAAAGGAAGGAAGGAAGGAAGGAAGGAAGGAAGGAAGGAAGGAAGGAAGGAAGGAAGGAAGGAAGAACGTCAGATCCATCCTACAACCAAATTACCTTAGATCAAATACAAGTAGTCCTCCTAAATGAACAAGAGTTCATTAGTGACTGTTCGAAGTTACAACATCACTGAAAAAAGTGACTTATGACCATTTTCCACACTTATGACTGTTGCAGCATCCTCATGGTCACGTGATCAAAATTCAAACGCTTGGCAACTGGCTCATATTCATGACGGCTGCAGTGTCCTGAGATCATGTGATCCCCTTTTGCGACAAGCAATGTCAATGAGGAAGCCAGATTCACTTAGCAACCATGTTACTAACTTAATAATTGCAGTGATTCACTTAACAGCTGTGGCAAGAAAGGTCGTAAAATGGGGCAAAACTCACAACAAATGTCTCACTTAGCAACATAAATTTTGGACTCAATTGTGGTCGTATGTTGAAGACAGATATTTGGCTTTATTTTATTCCTTTTTATGCTTATTCAATATAGACTAATAAGCTGCTGGACCAGTCAATGAGCACATATGGTTAAGACCAGCATAAATAAATAGCAGCATAAATAATGCCTTCAACTACATAACACCATAAGACAACTTAATAGAACAGCTAGTGGCGGCCAGTGCCAAGAAACCATTTCCTCACAGCAACTTCATTACTAAGCATTATTGTTCGTATGTTGTCCAGGGAGATTTCCCATGGCTGGAGTGATGGAGATGGGAGTATGACAGCCCAGATCAAGTGACTCTAGGACACAGGAGCTGCCAGCTCCAACTCTGAGTGTAATGTGACGAGCCTGCTTTCTAATTCAGCCTGACATATGCAATGATGCATCATTTGCCGTTGAAGGACCTGCTGCAGCTATCTAGGGACATAGGCTAGTATTCTGCCTATCGGAGGCAAACAGTCATTCAGACTGTCAGAAACAGGAATGGTTTTCAAAAGCTCCCGGGTTCAATGGTTAGACCAGAGTTTTCTGAAAACAAGAAACGAACGAAATTAAAAGTAGGTAAGAATAGGCTGGGACAAAGCAACACATCAATGGATAGGGTAGTTAAATATGTTTGAGAAGATTGTCTGCATGGATGGCTGAACTAATTTCAAAGTTACTTTCCACTCTAGTATTGTTGAACAAATGGACCACAGGACAGGGAAGTGGATGACCATTCTCCTATGGATTAAAATGTTACAAATGAAACAAACGAAAGAAGAAAAACAATCAAAGAAAAACAAGAAAGTCCAGTTGCCTCATGAAAAAGCATCTTTGGGAAACAAATGAATAGTGAAGTGAGAGTAATCATATCTCTATAGAACCTATGTGAATACTAATGGTTTGTATATGCATGCATATGCTGTTATGTACAGGCTCAGATAGATAACAGAATAACAGATTTGGAAGGGACCTTGGAAGTGTTCTAGTCCAACCCCTGCTCAGGCAGGAAACCCTATATATCATTTCAAATAAATGGTTGTCCAATCTCTTCTTAAAAACTTCCAGTGTTGGAGCAGTCATAACTTCCGGAGGCAAGTAGTTCCACTGATTAATTGTTCTAACTGTCAGGAAATTTCTCCTTAGTTCTAGGTTGTTTCTCTCTTTGATTAGTTTCCATCCATTGCTTCTTGTCCTGCCTTCAGTTGCTTTGAAGAATAGCTTGACTCCCTCTTCTTTGTGGCAGCTCCTGAAATATTGGAACACTGCTGTCATGTCCCCCCTCGTCCTTCTCTTCATTAGACTAGAGGACATACCCAGTTCAAGCAACCATTCTTTATATGTTTTAGCCTCCAGTCCCCAGAACCTATGTAATATACATTTATTTTCTTTAGACATATCCCAATTGTAGGAATTCCATTAATAAAAGTCAATTAATAGTTAAAGTATCCAAACTGTGCAAATCTTCTGATTAATCATGACTGAAATATTATTTTAGATATTCAAAAACTATGGCTGGAGACACCTCCCAATTCTGTACTCGTTGGTATGAATTTCTCACTGAAATGCACCGCAAAGCTTGGAATGCACAAAGGCCAAAGAGTAATTAAAATTGTGAAGTGCCAGAGGGAGGCAAGGTTACATTGAAATACAACATGAATAAGTTTCTCCATGCTATCTTTATCAAGTATTAAACAATTTTGAGTATTAGGGCATAAATATGAAAGCTAAATCTATTCAATACTTTTCCTGCTAACCCTGAATTATAATCATGGGCATTTTTGTCACAAGAAAACAGGCAGACTGTGGAAACCTCACGCTTAGTATCTCCCATTATGGCAGAAAATGAATATGAATGAAATGATGGATTTAAAAATATGGAGCACATAGGAGGCTTCAGATATTGCTGAGCTGCAACATCCAGTATTCTTCAATGTTGGTTATGCTGGCTGGAATGACAGGAGCTGTTCCACAGATTCTGGTGACCCAAACATTTCCTGTTTCTGCTGTAGGGAATCATACCTGGAACAGCTGCTTCCTATGTGCCAGTCAGGTGTCACTTGATGGCTTTACTGTTGTCTGACTACTTGTTTGCTATACAGGTGGTCCTTGATTTACAACTACAAGGGAGCCCAAAATTTCTGTTGCTAAGCGAGACAGATATTAAATGACTTTTGCCCGATTTTACAACTTTTCTTGCCACACTTGTTAACTGAACCACTGCCGTTGTTAAGTTAGTAACATGGTTGTTACGGGAATCTGGCTTCCTCATTGACTTGGCTTGTCAGAAGGTTCCAGAAGGTGATCACATGACCCCGGGACACTGCAACCGTCATAAATATGAACCAGTTGCCAAGAGTCTGCATTTTGATCACATGACCATGGGGCTGCTGCAACGGTTATAAGTGTGAAAAGTCACTTTTTTAGTGCTGCTGTAACAATGAATGTTAAACAAACAAACTACTGTAAACAGAGGGCTATTTTAATATGACAGAACAAGCCTTATATGTATATCAAGGCACTTCCCTATAAATGGGATGGTGATCATCATCACCTGCCTTCACTATACATGCAACCCTTGCGATTTAATGAAGATTTGCAGTTCCCAAAGTTAATAAAGTATTAATCCTTCCTGAGTGCCAACATTAATTTTTGGCTATGGTTCAGAGGTTAATGTAATTCCAAAAGCAAAGGGAACAGCTTTCTTTTTAGCCTTTACTTTTAGGCAATCTCAAATTAAACCAGTAAAAAAGATAAATTTGATCGCTGCTGTTTTCTTACAATTATTCTGAGGTTGTTGTTTTTTTTAATCAGCTTTAGGGACTCACTTTATATCTCTTTGGGTCCATCTATTTATCTCTCCAGCTGGAACAAAAACTTATTCAAGCATATTGCGTCCTTGGGTTTTATAAATAAATAAAGGTTTGCTTTCAGCATATGCCTTTTTTATTCATTTATGGATCCTTCTACGAATAGACTGTGGAGAAGGATCAAGAGAGGTGAACTTCAAAGCAGAATGGAGTAAGGATCTTCAGGCAGAGAAAGCCAAAAGGTAAAGTGTAGGTGGAAACAACTACTGAGCTGGCCTAATAGACTGAAACCTTCCTTTAGGTCTTTTTCAGGCTGCAGCCGCTGTTGTTGAACGTGCAAAGGGGAGCAGAAGCACTAGGCTGTTTGCTTTAATGAATGTGTCTAAGTGGCTCTTGATAGACTCAGAAGCAGGAGCCCTGTTGAGCTTTTCCATTACCATTTCCCTACAGGGCATGTGCCTAGCATGCTGATATGCTGCAGCTCCAGAGCATATGAAGCTATGCAAGACATTAACCAATAACAATAACAACAATACATGGGGTGATGCAAGATGTAGGGCAGGAGGCTACAAAATAGCAAACAGGAAAATGCCATTTGCCACATTATAGCCCTCGCCATATATCTTGTATCACCCCATGTATTGTTGTATATCCTCTTCATCTTGCATCACTCCACAGCCTAACAGAGAAAGCTGAGATGTTGGAAGAAGTTGGAATCCTAACACATCTCTTGCATACATTTGCCCTTTCAGATCTCACTCCCAATAGGGTAGACCTGGGGTCTTCAAATTTGGTCCTTTTATGACTTGTGGACTTCAACTCCCAGAATTCCTCAGCCTAGCTGAGGAATTCTGGGAGTTGAAGTTCACAAGTCATACAAGGGCCAAGTTTGAAGACCCCTGGGGTAGACTATGTGTGGGTGGGCAAGCTCAACTGTATCCTTTTTCAGAGGAAAAAAAGGGGGGACTTCCAGTCTTAGCAATAGTTCTTGTAAGTGGGTATACCAAATATGATGATCATTTGCAAAACAGGTACAAGTGATCATGCTCTGCATCTATGCTGCAATA